AAAGTATGCTAGTAATGTGCGACTAAGATCGCTACAGTACCTTATGCATTAATATGATATTTACCATGACCAAAAAAAAAAATGCCACATTTTAAAATCCCAATTTAGATTTCTTTTTCCTTTCACTTTGTATCATGAAGAATTTTAAACATGTACAAGTAGGTAACAGTGTAATGAACCCGATGTACAACATCATTTAGTTTAAACAATTCTCAATTTATGGTCCATCCTGTTTCAACCTTACCCTACCTCTTTCCCCTTTCCCATATTATTTTGAATAATAAATAAGACTTTATCTGTAAATATCACAGTATAGCTCTCTAAAATAAGTACTATTTTAAAAACAAACATAACCATATTACCATTATTGCACCTAAAAAAACAATAGTAGTTTCTTAAGAACATAAAATATCCAATTCGTTCAAATTTCTAATGCTCAAACACATAACATTTTTTAAATAGCTTGTTTATTTGACTTAGGATGCAATTAGGATCCCAAAGTAGTTGATATATTTCTTAAATCTCTTAATATATAGTTAAATTTCTTTTATAATAACATATTCTTTATTCACTTTGCACTACCACCAGTTTTGCCAAGCTATATTTTTAGGTATGACTTTGCTTTGTCAAGGAATATAAGTTTGCCATTTCAAAATTTAAACTTAGGATTCACATAGTGGAAATTTTTCATATTGAAATAATAAATTTCTCAAAAACTCTATCACCCATGCAGATTTGAAGTTGGCAAAATTTTCACTGGCTTACATATACTATTAACAATAATGTAATGTGAGTGACCATTTAATAAAAAAATATTATATATGTGCTGTTGTTAAGTGCCATAGAATCAGTTCCAAGTAAAAGGGTTTTCGAGGTTTTACATCTTTGCAGAAGCAGAAAGCCTTATCTTTCTCCCACAAAGAGGCTGGTGGGCTCAAACCATGGAGGTTGTGGTTCACAGTCCAGTGCTTACTGTATGGAGCCACCGCACTCTCATTATATATATATATACACATACACACACACATATATAGTATCCCAATTGTCTTTCTCAAAATTTTGCTTCAACATTGTGCCATTTATTTTTACTCTGGGCCTGTAGAGGGCAAGTCTATCTAATATTTATAAAGATGTTTTTATAGCAATGATTTTTAAATTATAAATATGATACATTAAAATAAAATTTTTGATTTGATTAAACTGCAACTGGCAATAATTAACTCAGTTTATAAAGGGGAAATTAAAACAAAATGAATGAAATCTGTGATATTGTCATCATATTTCAAAGATAAAATTGATATTGCTGTTTAGACAGCTAATCAATATCATCTTTTAAATTATCTGATCAATTACTAAGATGGTAAAAATCCCATGGCAAAGTTTCCAATGATCTTTCTTTGTAACTTTAAGTTAAAAAATTAAGTAGGAAAAACGTTTTTAATGTCAGTCAGCAGGACTTTGTCACCAGGTTCATCAGGACTTGAATTGTCAAAGGCATCTTAAATCTTATTGTAAAATAAAACAGGTTTTTTCATGTTCTCCAGTTATATTTGAACTAATTAACAATACTTTCATTTGAATCCTCTCTTCACTAAAGTAATAAATTATTTGTATCAAATTTTCTTTTCCTTATGTTTAATTTTTTTTTTTTTTTAATAAACATCATTCAGGATATAGACAATGGACCAATAAGAAAACTGTGTGAGGGAGACTTATAATCAACACTATCATAAATATAAACTACAAATGTAAAACTTTTATTATGTTGAGGCACTGTACTGAGCACTTACACAAATTACTACTAACTGTCATAACAACCCTGACACAGTAAAATATTGTGATGAAGTTTTGTGGCCTCTGCAACTGAAAATAGGCACAGGGTTTCTTTTTAGGGCAACGAAAATGTTCTGAAATTAGATCATGGGAAGGTTGTGCAACTCTGAGTATACTTAAAACCACTGACTTGTATACTTTAAAAGGGTGAATTTTATGATATGTGAATTATATCTCAATCAAAGTGTCACTTTTTTTTTTTTTTTTAATAAAGGAGGGGGATAAGCTCTGGAGTCAGGCTGACAAACTTAGAATCCTTGAGTTGCATTACCTTGACAAAGTTTCTTAAGTTCTCGGTGTATTAGTACTCATATCTGTCAAATAGAGTCCTGGTGTGGCTGTAGGATAAGCACTGGACTGCTAACCGGAAGGCTGGCAGTTCAAACCCGCCATCCACTCCTCAAAAACCCTATACAGGGTCGCTATGCGCTGGAACCGACTTGACAGCACTTAACAACAACATCTCATAGGGTTCTTTTGAGGATTAAATAAGATAATGCATGTAAAGTGCTTAGCACAATGCCTAGCACATTTGAGGTTCAGAGACTTTAATTAGCTTACTAGATCACTGAGTCATTAAATGGTAAAGGTGGGATTTGAACCCAGGTTCATCAGGCTTCAGAGTCCATATTCATTCTACCTTGTGTGAGTGATGAGACTTGCCCTAATACTATTCAATGGTCAGTCCTTTACCACATTAAACCTGGGATTGGGTGGAATGATGCATAAGAAACCTTTGCTCGATAATTCTTCTCTAAGTCTGATGGTTCATTCTCTCAATTGTTTTTGAGAGTTACCCCTTCAGAGCACTGTACCAACTCAACAGACTTTACCATAACCAGATGTTTAAATGTCTGCTACTAAAGGATTTTACCAGCAAAGGATCTATTTTTCTTTCAGTCACCAGACTCTGGTTTAGTTCATATATCCTAAAGGACACACATGTGTAATTAGGCTAGAGCAAAGAGTTAATAAAATTCATGCCATTATCTTCCTGCACAAAGGGTTCTACCATGGAAAAAGTGCTAGGAAAGTCTGGAACAATCATTTTTTGTCCTCTCTCACTCCCACCCCTATACTACCTAGTCTTCCAAGTGTTTTCAAAATTCTTCTGTCAGCTGTTCTTACATATTCCTATTCTTTTCACAGTCCTCAATTGTCCTGTAAATCTTTATATAGACCTGTTACCGTGTCCACCTGCCACCCCACCAATTTCTGAAATACACAATTCACTAAGGTTTGATTAAGAGCAAGGTAAAAGATATTCACCCACCCCCACCAAAAAAAAAGAGGGGGGGGGAAGGCTTGGGGACAAGATGCAATGAATACAGATTTTTCTACTTGAGCTTTCTTTCTTTACACTGACTTTTAAATGAGCAAAGATTTTGCTAAATGTACTTTAATTAACGAGAAGCAAATACAGTTTTCTGTTCTAAATAAACTATTTTCAGTTGTGCCCTTGGCATCTCTACCTCTGTCCTCTCGCTAAGAGAAGGTGAGTAAAGAAGTTTCCCTGTGCTGGGAAATGACTAGGATGCCACGAGGACAAGAATCTGTAGGATGTGTGCACCCTTTGTCTTTTAGCGCAACATAGTCTTGTGCTGAAGTCCAATTTTCCCCCTCTTATCAACACATTACCATACCAAATCTCTGACACTAATTCTTTATTTCTCCTTTAGGTAATTAATTCTACCCTCACAGTTCCATTCATTTCTGCCAGTTCACATTCATGTTCTGCCCCTTGTGGATTTTGGTTAACATCTGTTAAACCCTAAACTATAGGGCCGTTTCCTGAATAGCACATTACACATTTTGCAAAACAAACTGCTCCATACAATTCTCTACCATTCAAACTATGTTTCCAGCTATAAATACTTTAGAATAGTAAGATATACAGTAGCACTACAACTCATTATTAGAAGTATTATAAATACTCTAACTTCATCTTACAAGAGCCAAGAAGCTTTAAAATTATAAGACTGTCCTTTCTTGACGCTGGTTTTTAAAGAAAAGTCTTATACCAACTTGAAATATACAAAGCAAAGTATGAGCTAGGAAAACACAAATTTTAATAAAACTAGTGTCATCACTCACAATTTGAATTTTCCCAACAGCCAGAGAAAAGACCTGGTGATGTGATTCTACAAAGATTTCAGCCGAGGAAAGCCTATGGAGCAGTTCTGTTCTGTCACATAGAGTTGTTATGAGTCAGAATCAACTCGAAGACACACAACAACAAAAACTGGTGACTGACGCTAGATACATTAACAGCATTAAGAGAAAGAAAAGTCACAAAGCAAAATAGTTTATAAGCTATTTGCAAGTTTGATCTGTAACTGAGTCATCAAGAAAACAAAAATCCTCCATTTATTATAAAGATAATATTCAGGTTGATGTTTCTGTTATTCTTAACTAGAGTGGTAATAAGTAGGAACATGTACTTTAAAGATATTCTTGCAAACTGTTTGAGTTAAAAAAATCTTTTCCAATTTTGAACCTTTTAAAAATATGTTCTAATCCCCTCCCTTTTTTTTTTCATTTTTAATTTTGCACACAGCTGTCTGTCGCACTTTTTAGAATCATGCCAGATGCTGGGTTCATCAAGCAAAAGCAGGAAAACAATGGTTTGAAAGCAATTAGAAGTACCAAGGCTGCAGTGAGGCTCATATTAAAATGTGATAACACTGTTCTAGTGGGAATTTCAACGCTGCTCCGTTTCTGACATTTCTCTGCTGCCAGACAGGCAGGGTGGGTGGAAGAGCACTGTGATCGAGGAGGTAACATACTGGAATTTATTTCTGGAGCAAATGAAGGATTAGCTGAGTTGGAACCATGTCAAGGTTTTTATTATGGACTCAGCCACCATTTTATTTGAATGTTACTGGATCCTGTTTGCAACTACAAAGCTCGAGGAATAAAAATATATGAGAGTTTTGGTTCTATAAAACAATGTAACAGCAACCCACTCAGAAAGCAGAGGAAAAAGAGTCTCTTCTTGATAAATTGCAGGGCAGGGGGGACCAGCAGGGTGAAGATTAATTAAACACTCCACTAACTTTCCTCGGAACTGCTAATGTCACTCTATGGAGAAGCTTATTTAGAAAATACAGAAGTAAACCAACTATACATTCTTAGTGTAAAAGCATAAATGATCCAAGAGAACTCACCTGGGTGCTGAAAATCCCAGTGATACCTAGAATGCGAGAGAAAAGTGGAGGTAAGTCAAACCTGTACTTCATTATTTCTCAATTTTGGATGGCATAAAACACCCAGTCCATAATGCTTGCTAAATTGTCAACAAATAGCCAAAATGACTACTCATGAGGAGAATGAAAGGGTTGTCCCTCAAATGCAAACGTTTCTCAAAGGCTCAAAGCTGCCCTTAACTCAGTGTGACTCTTGATAATTTTGTCTTTAGAGTTGGAAAGGCCCTCAGAGGTCACCTAGCAGTGGCTCAGGTTTTCTCATCAGGAGATCTACGGACTTTGGGCAGGAAAATTCTTTGGTGTGACAAACTGTCCTGTGTAATACAGGACAACTAGCATCACTGGTCCTGGGCATCAAATACTAGTGACACCCCAGTTGTTGTGACAACCGAAACACCCCACAACACATTCCCAAATGCCTCCTAAGTCTAAGTTCTTTATTTTACAGGCGAAGCATGAACAATTAATTCAAGGTCATCTAACATTTCTGTACCCGAGCCAAGATCAGAGCTCTTGAAGTCCACTGTGCTATTCTATCTCCTCTTTTATTTTGGGAAATGATTGGCAAAACCAGTAGCCCTTGAAGTCTTAAACTAATGAAATGGCAGTGGGAGAAAGGATCATTTGTAAGTCATTTATTTGGAAACTAAATTGCATTTTTCCCCCCACAGAAATAATGTTCTATATAATGGCTACCCACAAAGTCTATTGTACTTTGGATCCCATTTCCTTCTGCCTTCACAGGAACCTTATATTACTCTATATCGATTTTATCTCTTGTATATTCAACCTCTTCCTCTCAACTGGGCCCTTTTTACTAGCATTTATACTTATATAAAAACAAAGCAAGCCCTTCCTCACCCCATCACATCCTTCCATATTCTGAGAGTCTTCTTTTCCTTCTTTCACAATGAAATTTTCAAAACAGTTGTTCATACCTGTTCTCCTTATTTACCTCCTATTAACCCCTAATATGCTTCAATCCAGCTCAAAATCACTGACCCTTAATTCTTGCTATAAACACAGTGATATTTATGCCACTAAACAGAATGAGTATTTTTCCGTTCTCTTCTTGACTTCTCAACAGTATATATGTGCATTTGAGTAATATTTTTCAGAATAAAGAGTCTACAGTTTTTATAAAATTCTTAAAAGGATGTATTGGGGAGGAGCATAATCACAGTGGATATCTAAGTTATTTTTTTTTTTACTAGATAGTAATGAAGGCAGATTACCATCTTTCTAACCCTTCCTTAAAAAATTATGTGCTCTTTGATTTATACCGTCAAATTGGCAGTCTTGACAACGTGGAGTAACTCAAATTGTGTTCCTTTTATGTGTTCTTTGAGTTTGGAGAACAAAAAGATATTTGAAAGGAAAAGTTCAGAACTGTAGTGTGGATGGGGTAAAGTTTCTCATAGGGTAGCCCTTGCTATCCTTGATGTATGAGTAGGTACACTGCTGTGATGAGAAAAGTTCCTCAGTGCAACTTTCCTGGTCTTTTCCTTACCGATTAAATTTTCCGTTTTCTTAAAACTTCTTCATAATAAATCTTTGTGATGATCCTGTGTCCTTTGAGAAAATCTACCAGTATTATCCCTTTTGAATCTCAAAAAAATAGTCACCATACCTTCTGAGCTGATCTTTCTGCCTTGAATTTAACTGACCCAGCAGATCACCTCAGAAGCCACTATCTTAACTGGACCTTGCTCTCTGTATCATATTGGCTTGTCCCTGGTTATATAATTTATTCCATAAAAGCATCTCCAATAGTTTTGATATTGTTTAAAAGATGGAAAGATTAGCTCTTTTAAATAGCTGATCTTTGTGCAACACTTTAAAAAATATCCTTTTGAGGCTTCCTGTGGAGCCTCTGAAATACATAAGACTACAGGTATAAGCCTGAACCACATACAGATCTCCAGAGATGGGAAATTTCCACTTGAAAGGATGAGCACACCAGCCTGGAGCAGCTAGAAGAACAGAAGATACTTCTTGAAAGAAAGACCTACAGGAAAAATACAAAACAATAGAGGCAGACAGACTGTTACTACAAGAACAAACAAGTTGCTTGCCCAGGAAACATCAAGGCAAGTAGTTGGGTCCCCTCAGTGCAAACCCCTTTCCAAGAATAAGACTC